GATCTTTTCCAGTCAGTTGGCCAGGTAGTTTCTTTCCAATTTCTTGGCATAGATGAGTCAATGCCTCCACTGTTGCCTCAGTTTATTGAAAGGCTTCAATTTGTATTCCATCAATTCTCAGAGCCTTGTTCTTTGTCAATGCCTTCAATGCTCCTTGGGCCTAATTCCATCAGTATCATTGGCTCTATTTGTTACCTCTTGAAATGGTTGAACATTGACCAATTCCTTTGTGTACAGTGACTCTGTATTCCTTCCATCTTTTTCTGATGCTTTCTGCACCATTCATATTTTGCCCATAGATTCCTTCAATACTTCAATTGAGGCTTGATATTTTTCAGTTCCTTCAGCTTGAGAAATGCTGAGCATGTTCTTCCCTTTTGGTTTTCTAATTCGAGGTTTTTGTACATTTTATTATTATATTTGACTTTGTCTTCTTGACCTGCCATTTAACATTTTCTATTTTGCTCTTTCATTTTTTTCCATTTACTTTAGCATCTCTATGCTGGAGAACAAGTTTCAGAGTTTCTTCTGACATCCATTTTGGCCTTTTCTTTTTTTCTTGCCTTCTTAATGACCTTTTGATATCTTCCTTTAAGATGTTTTTGATGTCAACCCACAACTCTTCTGGTCTTCGATCTTTCATGTCTAATACATAGAATCTCTTCTTCAGATTATTTCCAAATTCAGTTGGGATGTGTTTAAGGCCATATTTTGGCTCTTGTGGACTTGTTTTCGTTTTCTTGAGCTTCACCCTGAGCTTGCATGTGAGCAATTGATGGTCTGTTCCACAGTCTTCCCTGGCCTTGTTTTAACTGATGATATGGAGTTTTCCCATCAACTGTTTCCACAGATGTAGTCATTTTGATTTCTGTGTATTCCATCTGATGAGATCCATGTATATTTCCACCTTCTATGTTGCTTTAATAAGGTATTGGCTATGAAGAAGTCATTGGTCTTGCAAAATTCTATCGTGTGGTTCCCCACATCGTTTCTATCCCCAAGGCCATATTTCCCAACTTTGGATCCTTTCTCTCTGTTTCCACCTTTGCATTCCAATTTCCCCACATTGTTTCTATCCCCAAGGTCATATTTCCCAACTTTGGATCCTTTCTCTTTGTTTCCACCTTTGCATTCCAACCACCAGTAATTATTGATACATGTTGATTGCATGTTTGATCAATTTCAGACTGTAGAAGTTGATAGAGTTCTTTAATTTCATCATCACTGGCTCTAGTGGTTGGTGCACAAATTTGAACAACAGCGGTATTAACTGGGTTTCCTTTTAGGCATATGGATATTATCCTATCACAGACAGCGTTGTACTTCATGATAACCCATGATGTGTTCTTTTTGATGATGAGTGTGATACCATTCCTCTTCAATTGTCATTCCTGGCATAGTAAACCCTGTGGTTGTCAGATTCAAAGTGGCCAGTATCAGTCCATTTCAGCTTACTCATGCCTAGGATACCGACATTTATTTGTTCCATTCTTTTTTGACAATACCTTATTTTGCTAGATTTATACTTTGTACAGTCTATGTTCCAATTATTAATGGATGTTTGCAGCTGTTTCTCTTTATTTTTGAGCTGTACCCCATCAGCAAATGAAGATCCCGAAAACTTTATTCCATTCATGCCATCATGGTCACTTCTACTTTGAGAAGGCAGCTATTCCCCGGTCGCAATTTGAGTGTCTTCCAACCTGAGGGTCTCATCTTACAGCACTATATTATATGAAGAAGAATGTGGCATCAGGGTTAGAGAAAGACTCATTAACCTGGGATATGCAGATGATACATACTTGCTTGTTGAACGTGAAGAGGACTTAAAATAATTACTGATGAAGATCAAAGAGCACAGCCTTTGGTATGTGTTGCACCTCAATGTAAAGAAAACAAAAATCCTCACCAATGGACCAATAAATAACATGTAGATAAATGGAGAAAAGATTGACGTCATAGGTTTCATTTCGCTTGGATCAACCATCAACACTCATGGAAGCAGCAGTCAAGAAATCAGAGGAAATATCACAAGAGGCAAATCTGCTGACAAGACCTCTTTAATGTGTTCAAGAGCAAAGTTTGAGGACTAAGGTGCTACTGACTCAAGCAATGGTATTTTCAATAACCCCATATGCATGTCCTGGTGTGGCGCTGTGGGTTAATGCGTCAGACTGCAAAGCCGGTTGAACTGCAAGGTTGGCAGTTCAAGCTCACTAGCTGCTCCTTGGAAGCCCTGGACAGGTTGCTATGGTTCGGAAGCGACTACATGGAACTTAACAACGACAACATATGTCTGTGAAAGATGGACAATGAATAAAGAAGACCACGGAAGAATTGATGCATTTGAGTTATGGTCTTGGAGGAGGATATTAACCACCAAAAGAACAAATACCATCTGTGTTGGAAGAAGTACAGCTCGAATGCTCCGTAGAAGCCAGGATGTCGAGACATTGTCTCATACTTTGGAGGTATTGTCAGGAGGTACCAGTCCTGGGAGAATGACATCATGCTTGGCAAAGTGGATGGTCAGCAAAAAAGAGAATGACCTCCCAAGGAGATGAATTGGCATGGTGGCGGCAGCAATGGGCTGAAGTGTAGAAACAATTGGGAGATCAGTGCAGGACCTGACATTGTTTCCTTCTCTCGTGCATAGGGTCGCTGGTAGTAGCTTTGGACTGTATGGCACCTGACAAGAAGCATGCCTTTTTTTCTAAAGAAGCATGCTTTTTAACGTTGAAAATCAAAAGTTATTTAATTTTCACAACTCTTTGCATTCTCATAGTGTTTTTCTTAGGACAAAATAGATAAGCTTTACATATCGGTTCAGGTTTGTATCTTCTGTGGCCATGGTTAAAAGGTGAGACTTGGAAAATTCTGAAGTCATTTCCGATTCCACTGAGCCCAAGGTTGTTCCCATCTGAACGGCCTACAGCGCCCCCTGCCCGCCCCGAGGCGGGTTAGACATCTGAGCGGGTTCTAATGGGCAACCCCCAAATAGGGGGCCGGACCCGGGAAGGCGACACCCAGACAGGGAGACTGGACCGGGGATGGGCAGCCCCCACACGGGGGTCCGGGACGCGGAAGGCGATCCCCAAATAGTGTGCCTGGGGGGATGGGCGACCCCTACACTGGGGGCCGGGACGGGAGACCCTCAGACAGGGAACCGGGACAGGGATGGGCGACCACCACACAGGGGCAGGGACCGGGTAGTGGGAGACCCCGAGATAGGGGGCTGGGACCCGGGAAGGCGACCACCACGATGATGACCTCCAGAGAAGGAGGCGGGGATGGAAGGGTCACCCCCCATAGGGAGTCAGGACGTGGAAAGTGTGACCACCAGAAGGGTGGATTGGATTCCTAGAACGACCCCAGATGGAGGACCAGGGACCCGGGAGGGCCACCCCCAAACAAAGGGGGCGGATCGGAGAGGATGGTCCGGGCTGGGATGGGCGACCCCGAGACAGGAAGGTGGGACCCGGGAAAGGACCTCCAGACTGGGAGTTGGGCCGGGAAGGCGACATCCCCCGGACAGGGAGGCGGGATCCGGGAAGGTGACCACGCCCTCCACGCACACCCGCCTACCGCCTGCAAGGCTCCCAACAGGCGCCGCGTGGACACCTCGGCCGTGACGTTATGAACGTGCGTCGCCGGCAGGCAAGGACCCCGTCGCGCCCGCGTCCCTTCGGGTCCTTGAACCTGTGTGGAGCGGCGGGCCATGGCTTCGCGGCTCCTGAGACTGGCCCCGGTGTCCGCGTGCGCGCGGAGCCTGGCGGCGGGCGGCCAGTGCCGGGTGAGGCGGCGGCGGGCGGGAGCTGGCCCGGCCCTTTCCCGGGGTCCGGGGAGCTTCTCCAGGTCACTCGGTGACGGGTCCAGGAGAGGCGGGCCCGCGGTCAGCGCTGACCCTCTATCCTACATTGTACGGATCCCGAGCCGGCTGTGTGGGCACGGGGCGGCGGGGTGGGCAGCGTCCCCGGGGCAGAGCCGTGCCAGCACCCCGGAAGCAGGGAGGGACCTGAGCAGCTGTGCGGTCATCTGTGCTCGGGGTGCAGCCGGCCTCGTCCCCGAGTGGGTCAGTGCCCGAAGGTCAGCAGGCAGCACGGGACTGAAAGGGGACGCAGAGAAGTGGTCAGGGCTCCGCGTTGGCCGGAAACACCGCCTGGCCCTTGGCCGTCCTCACCTGGTTCCGTTTGAACCCACGGTGTGGCTGCTGTGTGATTTCATTGTTGACCCTCCACTTACCAAGCACGATGCCCCTCTCCAAGGCCTGGCTCCTCCAGCACCCCGGGTGGCAGTCCTGTGTGGTTAATGCACTCAGCTGCTAGCTTCCAGTCCACCTGGCAACCTACTGGGAATCGGCCCTTGGCACACCTAGGGGCACAGTTCTCCTCGGACACATGGGTCGCCATGAGTCAGGTGACGCAGCGGTAACTGGTTTGAATATAACATAATACAGATTCGTACCTTACTTTTTGACCTTGCGCATTGGTGATGGTGGTGGTGCTTATGTGGAGTCGGTTCCGACTCATAGCGACCCTGCCCAGGGTTTCCGAGGCAGTAAATACGTACAAGAGCAGAAAGCCTCGTCTTTCTCCCGCGGAACAACTGGTAGTTTCGAACCGCTGACTTTGAGGTTAGCAACCCGACTCGTAAACACTATGCTACCAGAGCTCAAAGGTTTACTTCTGTTTGTTTTGAATTTTAAAACTTTTTGTTGTTATTTGCCCCTTCAGCCTAGGTAGTATGTGTCTCCCATGTTCCTAGTTAGCAGCTGACCCTCCCTTCTCCTGCTACCCAGATAACCATCATAGAATGTTTCTTTTAGCATGAAAACCTTCTTGACTTTTTATCACAGCTGTCCCATACAGTATCTGCCCTTTGGTGATTGACTAGTTTCACTCAGCGTAACATCCTCCAGGTTCATTCATGTCTTGCAGAGTCATCATTATGCTTTAATGGTACTTAGTATTCCATTGTGTATATGTGCCATCGTTTGGTTATCCATTCTTGCATTGATGGACTATTTTAGGAAAATTGTAGAACATGCTATGGTGTGTCCAGCAATTCCAACACGTGGTATATATATATCCTAGAGGAATAAGGGCTGTGACATACACCAGTGTTCACCCAGGATTGAGACCACCACAGCAAAACGGTGGAAGCCACCTAGGTAACCGTGTTGATGCGGGAACCATGTTTCATTGAGCATCCTGGTAGGGCACGCTTTGCCCTGATCTGTATATGTTCTCATTGCATCCGTTCCAGCTCCATGTAGGCCAGCGTGCTCTGCTAGCTCAGCACATCTTCACTGAAGAATGTTGTCTCTCCTAGCTTGACAACCTGGACAAATGCTTGGCTCCTTGTTAATAGTATTTTGTTTGTCTCCTATTGTAACAATTGTGCATTCTTTGTATGGCTATGTGGCACTGTGGGTTAATGCACCGGGCCATGAGGTCAGTTTGAACTTCCAGGTTGGCAGTTCAAGCCCACCAGCTGCTCCTCAGGAACCCTATACAGGGTCACTGTGAGTCGGAACCGACTCGATGGCACTGTTGTTAATTGCCATTGAGTCGGTTCCGACTCATTTTTAATACTTTGAAAACAAGTTGTGTATTTGTACTCTTTGGTGTATGAAACCTCTGTATATATTAAGGTTATTTCATCATGTGTGTGGGAAAGACGTCTCAGTTTTCTTTTTTTAATGTGATGTTTGGATTCTTTTCTCAGGAAGGACATGATCAGATGTGTTTGGGGCTGGTTGTTGGGGAGGCTGGGGACCGGTGCTGAGGCCGTCTTTTCATTCTGGCTGAGGTAGACGCCATGCCCGGCACATTGAAGGGTTAGTGGGCTTTGTAGTGATTATGGAGCTGGAAGGAGGAGGGAGCGCTCAGAGGTGCCTCATGTTTGCTCTCTTGTGCTTGGTGGGAGTGGAGTGGACACACGTAAGGAAGAGCAGCTTTGGGGACCAGAGTGCGGGTGTTCCAGTTCAGGGTTGATCTGTTACTGGTCAGTGGGACGCTCGCAGGATACAAGGCAGGATTTCTCCCTCTGCCTCTTCTCTCCTGCCTTCCTTCTGGTGGCTTTTTGTAGGCATATTCTGTTCCAGGGGGTCGGGAGGGGCCAGGCGGTCCTGGCAATAACCGGTGTAGGTAGTGGGTGCAATGTTTTCTCACCGAGGGTTTTCAGGCCTTTGCGCTGCTGCCATTCCTGGGAACTGAATGCCGCTGTTCTTGTGTTTTCAGGGAGGGATTCATACAACTGCACCACACAAAGTACAGTATGGTCCTTTGGCCTTCATACTTGGTGATAAAACAACCCCAAAACTGACCAAGTACAGCAAAGTGATCACCGTGGACGGCAGCCTCTGCTCTGGGAAAGGCAAACTTGCCAAAGAGATTGCGGAGAAGCTCGGTGGGTGTGAGCCCGTGGTTTTCTCTCCTGGGGGGGTGGGTCAGGTCTCAGCTCAATTTGATATTCGGAGTGACCTCATGGTGGACATTTAAAATGTATGAAATGCTTATAATGTAGATTGTTTCACATTTATCATCTTTACTGGTCAAAAGCTGCTAGGCATCTTTCCAATTTGGGAAGTACATGGATTGTCCTCTTAAACAGGAATTTGCTCTTGACGTTGTGAGCAGTGTCTGACAGGAGCTCCCTGTGGGGCGGGGGGTGGGAGACTGCCCCAGAGGATTTCCAAGGCAGAGTGGCTGCTGGTGGCTTTGAACTAGTGACCATTCTGATAGCAGCTGAGTGCTGGATCACTGTGTCCCAGGGACCTGCTGCTGCTCTTTGTACAGATGGGTAAACTCAGGCCGGAGGGGCAGGGGTGCTGTCACACAGCCGAAGCCCCATGTCCCCTTCTGCTGTGGAGTCTGTGTGCAGTTGGCACCTTGTGTGTTTAACAGGTGTCCTCTGCCTCCACATGGAAGGGTTTCCTCCTCCATGGGGAATTCCTGTAGGGATGCAGCCACGGGCCCATTTCATGCCCAGGCGTGTGCCACATGCATGCTGGGACCCATTCCCTTGGGACCTGTGCCATCTCACAGCATCGTGACCAGGAGCTCGAGTGAGTCGGCTGGTCCAGGCGGTGTCTCTGTCTGCTCAGGTCTCAGGCACTTTCCGGAGGCTGGCGTGCACTATGCTGACAGCATAACCGGAGATGGGCAGCCGATGGACGTAGAGCTCAGTGGCAACTGTAGTTTGGAGAAATTCTACGATGACCCGAGCAGCAGCGACGGCAACAGTTACCGCCTGCAGTCCTGGCTGTACGCCAACCGCCTGCTGCAGTACGCGGATGCCCTGGAACATCTGCTGAGCACAGGTTCTATTCCCAGATCCTCAGTGTTGTGGGGTGAAGTGAGGCTCCCGGGGGGCTGCACGGAATGTCCCCGGATCCTCAGTGTCGTGGGGTGAAGTGAGGCTGGGGAACCGCAGAGGAGGGGGCCTGGGGCCTGTGCATCCACAGGGTAGACATTAACCCTGAGAGGCCCCGATATGAAGGTGGCTGCAGGCAGATTCCCTGAAGCTGCTAGCTGTCTGAGTGACCGATGCTCAGTCGTGTGACTGGACACAGGTCCAGCAGGTGGGTCAGCGGGAAGGGACTTGGAAGCCCACAGGGACTTGGGGCTTCTTCCCAAGGAGCTAGTAGCATGGTCTGTTTTGGGCGGGTTACTGCTGAGGGCTAAGACAGCACCGCCCGCTCCTCGGGGATGACGCCCTGCTGGGACCCAGGCGTTTGTTGGGGAGCAGCACAGTGGGTGTGGAGACAGCACCCCTCAGCCTTTTAGCTGTGGAGTAAAGCAAAGCAACGTGCTGTTGGCAAAAACCGCAAAATTGACCTTGTAAAAGGTCTCCACCTGCAAGTGCCTCTGAGTGCTGGTGACTAGATCTGGGGGGGTGGGTGTTGTTGGGGTGGGCAGTAACTGCCGCCTTCAGCTGTGTGTCTCCTGGTTCCACAGGCCAGGGAGTTGTGTTGGAACGCTCTATCTACAGCGACTTCGTCTTCTTGGAGGCCATGTACAAACAAGGGTACATCCGGAAGCAGTGTGAGTCTCTGCCCCCGAGCTCCCGGGGGCCATCAGGGCCTGCGTTGGGTTAGATGAAGGCCCTCACTTAGTAAACTAGGGTTCCCTTCTTCCTGAAAGAGCTGTGCTTGTCCTGCACCCCCACCGAGGACAGCAGCGTGTGTCCTGATCCTGGGCCTCTGCTCTGCTGTCTGTGGGGTAGTAGCGCGGAGGGGAGTGGACCCGAGGGAGGTCAGTGGGTGGGGAGCTACGCTGACCTTCCCTCCTGAGAGAAGCTTGTGTGGGCAGCCTGGTGACACCGACCCTTGCTCTGTCAGGCGTGGATCACTACAATGAGGTGAAAAAGATCACCATCAACGAGTACCTGCCTCCTCACGTGGTCATCTTCATCGACGTGCCTGTGGCCGACATCCAAAGCCGCCTGCAGAAGAGTGGTAATGTAAGCAGACGTTCCCCCTTCTCCTGGGCCGCTCGCTTCTGATCTCACACCCACACCCAGGACCCAGCTGAGTCAGGCTCCCCACTGCTGTTCCGTGTACCCTGTAGCTCAAGAACCACGGAGTCCTGTGTGTGGGAGCCCGGCTGGGACCTGTGCCCGAACTGGCTTCTGCGTGCACACTGATTCTCTGGTGGAGTTTTCTTGTCTTATTACTTAAAAGCGAATGTGATGTTCCCCATCCTCGTGGCTCTCCTCTGTCACTTCGGCGCCCCCCACGCCTTCCTGCTCAGGGTTAGGACGTTGGAGCAGTGAGCCCCCCACCCAAACTTTAGATTGTAGTTTTTGTTGGAATTGATCTGTGGCTGCTGTCTTACTGCTGTTAAGTGCTGCAGAGTCGCTTTCAATCCGTCACAGCCCCGTGCAGACTTTCCAAGACTTGATCTTTGCAGGTGCAGAAAGCCCCATATTTCTCCTGTGGAGCTACTGCTGGGCTTGAATAGTTGACCTTGTGGTTCACAGTCCCGTGCTTACCCTATAGAGCCAGTCACCTAGAATTCCCCATTTAGAAGTCACTGGTACCTGTCTAGCTGAGGGGGCTGGCAGGCTACTGTGGAGGCCCAAGGCCTGCCCCGCCCTCACCCTCCAGGCTCGTGGGAGAGGGCGCTCCCAGGTCCAGTGAGGCTGCAGGGGAGCTGTCCTCGGTGCTGAGACCCTCACAGGTGTTGCGTGCACTCTGAGTGACAGACTCTCGGAAGGCCAGCGGAAGAGTCCTGTTTGCCTTTGTCGCTCCCTCTCTTCAGTCCTAAGCACCCTGGCGGCATCTCTTGCACCCTGGGTGCTGCCCCTGGTGCGTTTCTCCATGAAGAGTTTGTGCTTAAGGATGATGCATAATTTAGGGCCCTGGGGGCACGGTGGGCTCAGTGTTGTGCTGCTCACTGAAAGTTCAGCGGTTCAAAGTCACCAACCGCAGTGTAGGAGAAAGGCTGCTTCCATGTGATGACAACTTTGGAAACCCTATGGGGCAGTTCTTCTCTGTCCTGTAGGGGCACTGGGCATCGGAATGGACTCCAGGGCACTGGGTTTGGGTGGGGCGTATGCTGTATAATGTGGACATTGAAAGCCTGCCACCTGGTGGCAATAGGAGGGAGCTGCAGGTTCAGGCTGGTACTCACTAAGTGAAATAGTGGGAGCACCCTACTGGCTTAGAGTTCTGGGGTGGTGCTGTAGGATAAGCACTGGACGAGGGTGAGTTTGAACCACAAGTTCGGCAGTTCAAACCCAGCTGCTCCTTGGAAACCCTGTACAGGGTCACTCTGAGTCAGAACCGACTCGATAGCACTTAGCATCATTGAGCTGTAGTTTAGACTTCGTGATGCTCACCTGTTACGAGTGTACAGCTTGGAGGCCCTCAGGAAATGCCACAGACTGCAGTGTGACAGCGTCTCATCGACCTGCGAGTCAGCACAGCCAGCTCCTTCCTCCCTCCCTCCCTCTTTGCTAGACACCCAGCCCTGGGGGCACCCAGTGAGCAGGGTGGACGCGGGCCTTGCTTTCATGAACTGACCTTCTACGGGGAGAAACAGGTGGCAAGCAGTTAGTAGAGATGGATGTCACAAAATAAAACAGGTTGTCAAGCGAGCCATTAGCATTGCTGAGCTAAGCGCACAGCTAAAAAGCCAGTCCCAATTGCTAGGGACTTGGGAGGACAGAGTGGGGCTACGCCGCACGGTTCCAAGGCTCTCAGTCTTTACAGGAGCGGACACCCTTGTCTTCCTCTCTTGGAGGACTGGTGGGTTTGACCTGCTGATCTTGTGGTTAGCAGCCTGGTGCTTACCCACTGTAACCTCCAGGCTCCTCTATGCTATGCTGTTAGAACTTTTGAATATCGACACTTGCCACTCAGTTGGACTTTTCAGTTTATAAAATAGGTGGGGCAAGCTTAAAATGCCAGGGAAGCGAGCATGCTGAGGACGTGGGAGATGTGGTTGGTGGTGGTAGAGAAAGGGGTAGGAAGCTGGGGGCATTCCCCCCATTATGTGTCATCATTTTCTGTGCTCCCTAGCCCGCGGGGATGAGTGTCCAAGGGTGTCCTGACCACATTCAGTGTGTGTCTTGGAGCCGGTGACAAAGGCCATGCCGTGGGCTCACCCAGGCACAGTGGTATTATAAGAGAATCATCTGATGATGGGACCCTTTGGTGTCATCCCGAAGACCTGGCAGGAGTTCCTCTCAGGAAGCAGCGTGCATGATAGTTGTCATCCTTCATGGGCTCGGCTCAAAGAGATGTAAGGCAGGTGTTTCACAGGTTCATTTGTCTGCTCTTGTTCAGCCACATGAGAAGAAGATCACTTCTGCGTACCTTCAGGACATCGAGAACGCCTACAAAAGGACCTTCCTTCCTGAAATGAGGTAAGCCAGGCCACCGAGCGACAGTGTAACCTCGAGTGTCCTCATGTAAGAGAATTCGCGGAGCGCCCAGTACAGCGCCTACTAGATGGAGGGGAAGCTGTGCTATCAGTTCCAGCTCCTGGCGCCCCTGTCTGGGTGTCCGAGGAGTGTCTGGTGGGTGGGTCAGTAGCCTTGCAGGTGACCTGGTGCAGTGCTGCTCCCACAGTGCCGCACTACTCGACTAGGAGAGTGACGTCATGCACTGGTGAACTTGATAAGGTGGTGCTGAATCTCGTCCTTTCCCTGCAGCGAGAAGTGTGAAGTTTTACAGTACAGCACCAGGGAAGCTCAGGATGCAGAAAAGGTGAGGAAAATTGTCGAAACGTAAAAAGTCTTTGCAAATCAGGTAGTCAGTTTGGTTTCCACTAGTCTTCAAAATATCTGGTTTTTGAAATCAGAACAAAATACCCAGTCAGCGGGTCACGCTCCCCACCAGCTGGGGCCTGAGGTTTCCAGTGTTCTTTCGGTAGCTCAGTGTGTTTGATCTGGAAGGCGATGCGGGAAGGCTGTGTGCGCCGGTAAGTTTGTTTAAACGCTGGATTGATGGATTGCTAGACTTAGTGTCTTTTACCTAAAGGTGCCTCTTTCCCCACTCGAGTCAGTGCCTTTGGAGAAATTCCAACTCACCTCAGTGGAATTGTCAGGGAGCTTCATGAGTAGGAACCAGGGAACTTGGAAACAGAGTGATGGGCATCTGCCTTCCTTCTCCGATAACAAAACAAAGCCGAGCCACTCCACAAAAGGATGAGGACGAAAGCCCCATGGTGCTATGCGGGGCTTCCTGAGGACTTCATGGAGCAGAGTGGAGAGTCTAGAAATAGGGCTTTGTGTGTGTGTGTGTGTGTGTGTGTGTGTGTGTGTGTGTGTGTGTGCGCACAGCGGGCTTGAGTACAGTTAGGACTTTCAGGAATAACAATCAAGTCAGTAAAGTGGATTTTAAAATCGTATTGAAACAATTGAGCATTTATTAAAGTACATAAAATAAACTGAGTGGATGACTAAAACAACAAAAAATTAAAACACAGAAACCACCAGAAGAGAAAGCTTCGCGGTGCTAGAAGACAGCGCAGGGTGGGTGACTGGCACCGTGGAGCAGGCCTGGCAAAGGTGACTCAGGGAAAAGCGAGCCGTCTCTGTTCCTCACCTGTGCTTTCTCCCAGCCCAGGCTGTTTATCGACATAAACACTCACCCCACAATTCTCACTGAAGACCACCTACCTCTTCTTTTTTCTTTTTTTAATAAAACTTTCCTGGGATGATTTTGCCAAGCAGCTAAAGTTACAATGTATTAAAGTATCCCTTCCTTTACCTGTGTCAGTGAGAGTCCGTGTTTAAGTCATGTGTGACTGTTTGTTACTTCATGTATTGATTTTCTTCCGTTCTAGGTGGTAGAGGATATTGAGTATCTGACGTATGAGAAGGGGCCCTGGCTTCATCAGGATGACCGCACTTTTTACCATCTGCGGATGCTGTAAGTTCAGGACATTGGAACGCTGCTGTGCGGAACGTTGGGTCTACTCGCCTGCGTTAGAAACGGTGAAGGTGTGAAATGGTTTGGGTTCAGGTTCAGCACTCACAGTGCAGACAGTAAACACTTTGCCGTCTGAGCAGGCTCGCTCGTACGCGCTCGGGTCAAACGCATTCTCATTAGTGCAGCAGACGGTTTGCTTCCACTGTGTGCCAGGCACTTTCCGATTTGGGTGTGGCGCTGTAGTTTCAGCGCTGGACTTCGAACCACAAAGTCGGCAGTTCAAATCCACCAGCTGCTCCTCGGAAACCCTATACAGGATAGGGTTGCTAGGAGTCGAACCAACTTGATGGCACTTAACAATAGTAGCAATAGCAGTAGTTAATAGAAGTCCTGGGGTGGCACCAAAGGAGAAGCATTTGACTGCAAGGTCAGCAGTTCAAACTCACCAGCCGCTCCTTGGAAACCTGTGTACAGGGTCGTTGCTATGAGTGGTAACCGACCCCCCCCCACCGCTGGATGGGGCTCCCTCACTTAAGGGCTCAGAGGGCCTGGCCCTACCTTTCTCATTGGAGGAGAGGTCTTGCCAGGTTCCGTCCTTGGCTGTTACTCTGAGAGTTGTTGGTTCGAGCCCACCCAGTGGCATCCTGGCAAGAAGTCCTGCCTGACTGTGTAGAGCTGGCAGCCAAGGGGACCCGATGGAGCCACTGCATTTGGTCATGTGGGTGGGGGGAGCGGGGGTTTTGCCCTGAGTCAGGCCTGTCCCATCAGGTTGCTGTGAGGATGGACTGGGGATGAAAGCGTCGTTGGACACCCCAGTGGCGTCTCTTACTGCAGCAGGGGTGCCGCTGGCAGAACCTGCAGCCCAGCGCTCCTCCTCTGAGTGCTGTCTGTTGGCTTGCTGGATGTTTTTCATCTTTAATATTTTACTATCTTTTGACAAATACAATGCACTTAACATTCAAACTAAGGAAACAGTGTTCCCTTTGGTAGTACGCATGGCTGGGAAGCTTCCACTGCTGGCGTGGCGTGGAGTGACGGACGTGGGAGTGGTCGTGGGCTGGACTCAGTGGCCTCCTTTGTGGCTTTGTGTCTGAGTTTGGTAAGCACCAGCTACACTCAGAGGAGTCCCATTGGAGCCGCCGTTGTTGTTGTTGTTGTTACGTGCCGTCGAGTCGTAGTTGCTCATTAATGGGAAAGTGGACTCATTACTTTCTTTGATTGAGTCCTTTGGAATGAAGATTTAGTTTTAGTGATTATTTCTGTAAGCTCAGGACACACTTCATCTTCAAGTGTGTGGTTATAGCCAGATGAGATTGAATTTAGAGTCTGTTAGTCGTCGCGAAGCTTCGCACTCCCAGCATCCAGCCGGGTACAGTGCTGATGGGGGACATCTTGGTGCCCCGGTGCCCAGAGGGCAGCACATCGGACTCTGCAGGCGGGTGCTGTGGCTCGTTGATCCTGTCCTCGAGGCCCACGTGGCCACACGGGAACAGGACAGCAAGCAGCTGGTGTGACCCTTGAGGGTAGTAAACGTGGGGCTGCAACTGCAAGGTTGGCGGTTCAAACCCACCAGCCTCTTCGTAGGAGAGAGAGAGCAGGCAGTCAGCTCCTGTAAAGTCGGCCAGTGTCGGGAACCCACCCTGCGGCCAGCAGTGGGTCAGTGGTGCTGAGGACATCTGACCCTGGGCAACACACGCTGACTCTGTCTGAGTCCAAAAGTGAGACTGCGGAGAGTGGTCCTCAGGCTCCCAGGGTCTCGTGGTGGACGCCTGCTCTCGCAGTGACTCCGTGGGGATGGACATGGTTTGGTGTGACCTAGGCTTTTCATACTGTTTCCCAGGGTTCAGAATAAGCTGAAGGTGTTAAATTACACGACTATTCCTGTGTATCTCCCCGAAATCACCGTTGGAGCCCACCAGAGCGACCGGCTCTTCCGCAAGTTCCGAGAGGTAAGCCTGCTAACACAGGCTGCCCACCGGCCTCTGGCCACCTCCTCCTGCCACTGCTGTGTGTGCCCGTCACTGCGGCCTGGCCCCGCCCACTGAGGGTGAAGCCTGCACAGCCTCGACTGCGGCTCCTTGGGCGCTGGGTGATGTGTGTTATTCCATGTGTGGGCGGTGGGTGCTGGGGGTGCGGCCTGTGAGTGGGTGGTGGGTGCTGGGGGTGCGGCCTGTGAGTGGGTGGTGGGTGCTGGGGGGGCGACCTGTGTGTGGGCGGTGGGTGCTGGAGGTGCGGCCTGTGAGTGGGCGGTGGGTGCTGGGAGGGCAGCCTGTGAGTGGGCGGTGGGTGCTGGGGGGCGGCCTGTGTGTGGGCGGTGGGTGCTGGGGAGTGGATCTCTTGTGTGGAAAGCACGCTCTGTCCCGCCCCTCTTACCCAGGTCTCATAGCGAGACTGCCTCATGTCTGTAAACAGTGAATGCCACGTTTCTGCAGAAGGCCGTGGAATGGCCGCTCGAATGTGTGGGAGGCTGGTCAGGGAGCCCCCTGAGTCCATATCCCGGCAGATTCTATGATTCTAAGGTGGTCTAGAGAGAGGACCTTGCACCCAGCGACACCTGCCAGCCCTGGCCTCCCTGGAACCACAGTGTCCAGTCTGCTAAGGTGGTGACCCTTTCTTGGCTAACGTGTGAAGTTGTACCTTTAAATCAGAAGTCTACATGGCTTGTCCTACATCTGTCACTAATGAGGCGGGAGCGACCAGAGAACATGCCCATTGGCCTTGGTTGTAAAATATCAAACTGTCCGAGACAAAATGTGCGCAGGCTCTGTATTCAGAAACTCGTGGGACAGGCAGCGTGTCCTCCTGTCACCTGTAAGGCCGCTGTGTGTTCCGGCCCGCAGGCTCCCAGCAGCAGCAGCGACACGGCGGCAGGTCCGTGGATGCTCTGCAGCTGGGGGTCCGGAAGCAGAGAGAGAGACGCTCGGCTTGGACTGAGCTCCATCAGACATTGATGGTTTGTAGCAACAGCGAGTGGGCGGTTTGGGGCCGTTCCCCAAGGGGGTAGGCTAGCTCAGTGTTGGGGGGCGGTGTGTACTGCCACTTACTTCCTGGAACAGGGGGGTCTCTGGAGATGCTGAGGGGAGGGGCTGTCTTCTCTTTACAGTTTTCTTGTAAGAGGCAAAGATGTTGCATTTTGCTTGATCTCTCCTGCAGAATGAGGCGTAATGTAAAGTCGGCCGCACTCTGCCTAGACCCATGGGAGTGCACCCATTACTCCACGTGCATACTTTATGGTCCCCGTTGAACTTGGGGATGCTTTGTGGTTAGAAATTGCTCGGTAGCCTCTTGGGTTCTTGGGAAAAGGAGGCGTGCTGACCAAGTGGGTTCCCATTTGGGTCTGTCCCCTCCCCCCACCATCTCTCAGGTTCCTCTGTGTTCCCTGCAGGGTTCAGGGTGGGGCTCGTTTCTTCTCCTTAATGCCTGTGTCTTCTCAATCGGATAGATACATAGGATCCTAGTGCATGCCTATATTTTCAGTTCTGTCTGTTTCTTAAATATCACAGACATCATTTCATCACCTGTGTCTGGTATTGCCCAGTGTCGGGGGTATCACGTGCTGTCTTGTACGAGGGGTCTTCACAAGGTTGGTGGGAAGGTTCTATGCTCTTTTCACTCCTTTTCCCTAGGCCTCCCTGTAGACTGAAGGCATGTGGGTGGGTGCCGGCTGACCAGTTCGTGGTCCCCAGGGCAGAGGATCATGTGACTAGTCAGCACATGCTGCGTTGGAAATGTGGACAGATCCCTCAGGCTGTTGGCCCGTCTGTGACGTTACACACACACACTCATCTCGCTCTTTGACCATCGAGTCACCGTCTCTCAGCTCCTTGTCAGTGTCAACGTCCTGGGGCTCTGTCTGGGTAGAACAAAGACCCTGTTGGCCTAGCTATGTGGTCTCAGGAGCGTCCCTCCTAGTTGTGTGGTCCAGGTGTGTCCCTCCTCATTGTGTGGTCTCAGGTACGTCCCTCCTAGCTGAGTGGCCCCAGGTGTGTCCCTCCTAGCTATGTGGTCCCAGGTGCGTCCCTCCTAGCTGTGTGGTCCAGGTGTGTCCCTCCTCATTGTGTGGTCTCAGGTACGTCCCTCCTAGCTGAGTGGTCCCAGGTACAAGCTACTCTAGAGAGAGGTCCTGGCCGCCCTTGGCTCTGGGAGAGTGCAGACGTGAGATGACGTGACCAGAGGCCCTTCCCAGTGGTGCTGCATCTCCATCAGTGCTCCCCATCCTGGAACTGGACTCGTCCCTGTCAGTGTCCGGGACCCCTCAGGACGTCCTAGGGACGTGCTGCGGCTCTGAAGTCCTTGTCCAAACACTTGATGAGGCCTCTGTCTGTTTCTAGAATGTCCTCTAAACTGGGCTCCACATTCCAGACCCATCTTGTGTCCACTTAAGGGACCAGCACATCTCCACTGGGTGTCTCGTGCCCAGAGAGTTGCTAGGACGACAGCACGGTCTCCTGGCTCAAGTTTTCACCATCAGTGTCTCTCACTGGAGATGGGGTGCACCTTTTGGACGCTGCCTCTCTCTCCTCCCCTTTTCAGAAGCCACTGGAACCATGACAGGCTGATAGTAAACAAACAGCACGAGACCAGTTTACCGGAAGTACCTAGCACAGTGGTGGTGGGTCTGTGTGAACCACAGAGTCAGGGGTTCAAGTCTACCAGCCGATCCTCACAAACTCTATACAGGGTCCAGATGAGCTGGAACCAACTTGATGGCACTTAACAGCCACAACAACAGCCCCAGAAAGGCCCAAACCACACCCACTGCTGGCACACCAGTTCCAGCTCTTAGCTCCCATGCAGGACAGACAACTGCCCGTAGGGTTCCATGGGAGCGGCTGGTGGGTTCGAACTGCTGACCTGGGTGCGGCTTAACATACTGCGCCATTGGGGCTCCAAAGCAAAGAAGTGGCTTCAGGGCACATGTTCTGCAGTGTGTCCTGCATCCCACGAGCACACGGGGGCACCACTGGAGACTGGCTCTCCAACCTTCCCTCCTCCCACCACCCGCCCCTCTCCACAGGCTGGTACTGGGGGTGGCTGGCCGGTGTGTGCCCTTTGCTGGTTGGTGCAGTTAAGCAGCACGTTGGGTTTAAACATGGTTCTAGTACGTCTTCCTTTGGGCAAATGTACAAGATGGATATGTGTGTGTGTGTCGCCTATGAGTGTGTCTTGCTCTGAACGGATCAGAAAGAGCCCTGAACACGTGGCTTCCATTTTGTAGCGTGCAAGCTAAGCTGAGCTCAGAGGTTTTCCTGGTCTGACAGCGGAGCTTCCATAGCTTGTGTCAGATCTCTGTGCACTCTGCTCCCACAGCCCCAGTATGAGGGGCACGTAGCCAGGACAGGTGTGTATCGGCCAAGTCCTGCCTTTGTCCCAGCTTTGGGGACATTTGTGGCTGTGCCCAACTATTCTTGTTTGCCCCAGATCCAATTCTGCTGGCCTAGTCACACAGTGGACACGTGTGTGGCCGCTAACCGCATGGTCGGTGCCGGCGGCCTACCAGCTGCTCCGGCAGAAGATGAGCCCATCGCATCCACTGCGATGACAGCCCTGAAAACCCCGGGGGTGTTTCCGCTGTGGCTGCCAGGGCTGCTGGGAGTCGGACTGGATGGCAGGGCTGGCAGCCGAGAGGGCTTCTCCGGACAGGACCCCATGGGGGAAGACGAGGGCTGCCTTCAGCGTGTCTGTGAGCTCCTCTGCTGCCGGGCCTGTCCTGTCCTGCTGGACACACATGGGAGCCCATCAGTGGGCTCTGACGTGGACCAAAGGTTTAGGTGGACAAGGTGGCCAGCTCGTGGGGTGTGTAGCATGTGACAGAGATGGTGTTGCACGTGGGCGGGAAGGACGGGCTCCAGCCATGTAGTAACTGCTTCTGTCTCTTGCAGCTGCCGGGCCGCAAGTACCAGCCCGGGTACAACGCTGACGTGGGTGACACTTGGATCTGGCTGAAGTGAGCGGGACCCTCCCCTGCAGATGTGCGGGATGGCGCGGGAACGTCCCACCTGCCCGGCGATTTAGAACACAAACCAGAAAGCACCCCGCAGGAGACAGGGCCAGGCCAGTCTGCGTGCTCCACCTGTAGCGTAGTGGGGCTGGGGGGCAGGGCTTCCATGTCAGGTCTAGAACTTTCTAGCCTTATTTTAGAATGATCTGTAATTATCATTGGACAAAAAGCAAATAATAAAGGTCTGCTACCAATGAACAGCTGCTAGTGGAAATCTTTTTCAGACTTTAGACTCCGGAAATCGAGGTGCTTCTGTGCGGTACACCCCCACACACACACAGGCACACACAGACACACACACACAGCCTGTGTGTGGAGGTGTGTGCCCACACGTGTGATCCTCCATATCCCCATGGAGTCTGTGGAGCTGCACACACACACACACACACACACACATGTGCTTGGATTCTATGGAACTACACACATACAGACATGTGGAGGTGTGTGTCCACACGTGTGATCCTCCATATCCCCATGGAGTCTGTGGAGCTGCACACACACACACACGTGTGCTTGGATTCTATGGAACTACACACATACAGACATGTGGAGGTGTGTGTCCACATGTGTGGCTTCTGTGAAGCTGCATGCAGACGCAGACATATTCTGTGTGGACCTGAGCACCCTCCCCTTTCCCATGGTCTCCTTTGATGTGTTTGGTGTCATTGAGAAAGTTGCTGGGGTTTGAGGCATTTTCCTGACGTCCCTATTTGAATGGCTACCTTAGAGCAAAAGGGGAAGAAAAAGTGGAGAAAAAACAGCAAAATTGACGGCCGCTCACCGTGGGTTAAGAGGGCGATGTGTTTGCCTGACATGACTTAAGCGGCTGCTGAGGGCGCACAAGGCAGTAAATGTGCTGACAGAGTCCCTTCCTTTATTGGCCTCTGCCCTAAACCAGAAGCTGAGGGGGCTTCCTGGAAGTGCACTCCCTTGTTGAGCCCACACCTGCGCTGAGATGGCCCCTGGCCATGTGTGGACAGCATGCCCCTGCAGAGCTCTGCTGGGCAGTGCTGTGTGGAGCCTGGTGGAAGAAGGGGCCGGGTTCTGCTCCCTTTTCCGTCTCTCTCACGTCGGAAACAGGAAAAGTTTCCCCAGTGGGTTTGAGGCTGAGTTCCAGATCCAGGGGCCACAGTGCTGCATCCTCACTGAGAAAGGAGCTACTGTCCCCCTCTGGTGGGCTCCGGTGGTCCAGCCCTGGCTGAGTCCCAGGCCCCAGCCCTCATAGCCCATGGGGAGCAAGTGGGACCGGAAAAGAAAACCCCGGCAGGCTCCTCACCCATGTGGCCCCCAGAGAGCGCAGGCCCCTGTGTCCCCCCACCCCCACGCCGTGATGCTGGGGAAGGGGCCGGGCAGGAAGCTCATGTCCCTGTCTCTTCTCAGCAGCATGGGATCCAGCAACACAAAAGTGTCTGCGACCCTCACAGGGCTAGAGGCCCCCACTGCATTAAGGCCAGGCAGTAGCTACGTAGCCCCATGGAAGTGAAGGGATCCAGTTACTTCCGTAAACAGCTTCTGTTGGATCAGGGCCTATAACCTGCTTGAGGGAATGTCATGCCAGCCCGGCCTGGCCGGCCTCAGTGGACAGCCCCTCACGGTGGTAGCCCCGGTGGTCACCTGCTGCAGGAGCCTGTGACATCAGGACAGAGTACTGGGGTGTCTAGGACAACAGGGAGGAGAGACCACTGCCTTGCTGGGATGCTCATCCCATTCCACAAAGGCCACTGACTGCTGGTGGTCTTGCAGGCTGGCAATGTGTTCCTGGTATACTTGGTGCATGTGTCATGTGGCTGCCCACCCTACGTCTGTGGATTTGGGGGACCTGCAGAGTCGTGGTGAAGAGGGCTGTAAGTACTGTGGGGTGGGGAGGCCCCAGGGGGAAGGGTGTGTGGCAGTGGCCAGAGGCGAGTGGAATGCTTGTCACTGTGTCTGTGGTCCTGCATGTGCTGCGTCTGCATGTACTGTCCTTGTGCGTGGCGCCTCATCTGTGGTTGTGTGTGTGCCGTGCTGTATTTGGTGACATAAAATGCACGAGTAGCTGACCACACACGGGCCAGAGCCCCAGTTACACTGAGCCCTGCTGTGTTGCCGAGAGAAGGTCATTTAGATCCAGAAAGATCCAGCTGCTGTGCATCCCCTTGGCAACAGGCGGGCAGCAGGAGTGGCCTGAGGGCGGATGGACAGGACTTCTTCAGACAGCATCATCAAGAGTCTGTTAATCACTGCCATTTGGCGAAGCAGATGTGTCTGGCTTTATCCAGCTTTTACCGGTTTTACATTCATGAGTAAAAACAAAAACACTTAATAGTTTTAGCCTGATCAGAAAAGACTCAAGGGCCAGCCCCTACTACTGCTGGCCCGAGTGACCCTGTAGGGCAGAATAGAGCTGCTCCCAAGGCTTCCCAAGACTAAGTCTTCTCAGGAGCACACAGCCTCATCTTTCTTCCATGAAGCAGCAGGTGGGTTTGAACAGCTGACCTGTTAGCTTTCAGCTGAACCCATGGCACCACCAGGCCTCCGCTCAAAAGACCCCGACCTGTGAATTAACATAAAACAGCCTCTTTCTCATCAGATGTTGCCAGCTGCTGCCCAGGTGACTGCTCCAGTCTGCTTCCATGACCGCTGTGGTCACATGTACCATGACGGGTCCCTCATTTCACCGAGTCTGGTCCACCAAACACCATGCCCTTCCAAGAGTCTCATCAGCTCAGCAGACCAAATGCAGCCTCTATCTCATGAGCTCATACAGCCCCGGCTGCCAGAATGAGAAGCAAAGGGTCATCAGTGGAGGACACCCATCTCATCCTCCTGAGCCCCTTTGTGACCCGTAGGACAAATAGGGCCCACCTACATTTTCCACCTGGGTTGCTAGCTGCAAGTTTGGCGGTTCAAAACCACCAGCTGCTCCCTAGGAGAAAGATGAGGTTTTCTGCCCCTGTAAAGAGTTAGTCTCAGGACCCTGGGACGTGTCCCTGCTCCGTCCCCCCAGGGTTAGTCTCAGGACCCTGGGACGTGTTCCTGCTCCGTCCCCCAGGGTTAGTCTCAGGACCCTGGGACGTGTCCCTGCTCCGTCCCCCAGGGCTGCTATGAGTTGGAATTGACAATGACAGTGGGTTTGAGGTAGTTTTTGCTTCTGGAGTTTAATGGGAAACCCCTGTCCCACTTTCAGCACATGCTGCCATCTGCTGGGCCTTGTGTAACTGCTTGAGCCTAAAGAAACAGGCCTCGTTCCACCGAACCCAGCACCAGAGACTGTCTGGGACACATGCATCCCACTAATGTGTCAAATTCCACATTGCCTAACAAAACACTTTCTCCCCCTATTTCATTCACAATGCCTTCCATTACTGAACATACAGTTTCAATGAAACATTCAAAGCAGAGAGTGATTTGCTCCTGACAGGGTTAAAAGTAGGTCTTTTTCCTGGTTGCTTTGCTCTCTGACCATCTGCCACCCAGGATTTGAAGACCAACCCCCAGCTGGAGGATGGAATGGCACAGAAACTGTCATCCAGCGCTGACTCCCGATGGTGACGTAGGGTCAGCCAGTGCTTGGTTCTGTTGTACACGGGGTTGCATGCGTCAGAATGGACTCAACGGCGCCTAACAACAAACAGTGAAAATTAAAAAACCATCCCCACCACCATGGAGTTGCTTCTAACGGCAGAACACAGTGGAGTGGTCCTTAAGGGTCTCCGAGACTGAATCTTCACAGGACAGACAGCCTCATCATTCCTCCCCCCAAGGAGCGGTGATGGGCAGGAACTGCTGACCATGCGGTTAGCAGCCCAGTGCCTACCCGAATCACCACCAGGGTTTTTTTTTAGCAACAGCAGAGGCTAGCGAGGATTTAGCAATTGTGCAAATATCCATCAGAACACAGGAGACTCCCTTGGTAGGTCTCGAGTGCAGATGGAGTGGTGGGCATCTCTGGAGCCCACGTGGGTCATGTGCCCCCTGGGGGTGAGAACCTTCAGCCCGCAGAGTCCCCTGTGCTTTCTACAGCAAATATACATGGCCACACAAATTGTGTGTTCCGTGGGCCAGGTAAGCACGGGCTAACTTTCTTATTTGTAGTGCAGTTTCCCGCCTTTTCACCCCATCGAAGATTCTGCTTCTAGGGACAGCTGGTATCCATATCTCCCTGACCCCACAGCCCCTTCACACAGAATCCAAGTCTCTTCTTCACTTTACAGTCCCTGACGGGGCAGGAGGGCACGGTGAGCAAGGTAAACACAGGCATACTTGTGCTGGCATCTATCTCTCTCCTGACCCCGCTGCCCCTTCCCACAAAATCCAAGCCTCTTTTCCAATGTACAGTCTCTGACAGGGAGAGTCAGGGATGGAGGATCCAGTCAGCCAAGTAAGCACACGCTTGACTGCGCTTACTCATCTGCAGTGAACAGTTTCAGGTTTTTCACATCAGAGATGTGGACTTGTTCACTACAGGTGAGTAAGCACAAGGAAGCCTGTGCAAACTTTGCTGACTGGGTCCTCCCCCAACTCTTCCTGGGAGGGTCCCTCCTTATCACTGACCTCTGCTTCCTCTGTCCCCTCGGGTCCACCCGGGTAACCATCCCAGGCCTCCTGCCTCGTTCCCTCAGGCGGATGTTGTCAGTGACGTTGTTTGTTGGAGGCAAGCACTCCGCGGGATCGTCAGTGGCTGTTGTTTGGGAATTAGATTGCCAGATCTTTCTTCTGAGGTACTTCTGGGTGGACCCAAATCTCTAACCTGTCAGAGAACGTGTTAGTCAGCAGCCTGCCTCTACGGGCCCCTCCGAGATGAGTGTCGATTCCTGGTCTCTGTCTCTGCTTTCTGCCACAGGTTGCTGGTTTTGTTGAACGCTTTCAAGTCATGTCCGATTCACAACGACCGACCTTATAGAGGGTTTCCGAGGACTCGCTGGTGGGCTTAAACCACGAGCTTTTGAGTTAGCAGTCCAAGTGTTTATC